AACCTAGTTATCCTAGACTGACGTCTTTCATTTCAGGGACGTTAGGAAACTCTGTTTTCTTGAAGCTAGTTGTTGTGGTTTTTTTTTCCTCCTCTGTGGCACACATCTTAAGAGGACTAGTGTGTTGGCAATAATTTAAAATTCTTTAGACCAGTTAACTTTGGGCAGGTGGAAAGATTGAAGATTGGTGAAGATATCAGCAAGCAAGCTGCAGTTCCTTGCCAAGCAGCAATGCAAGATAAAAAAAACTCTGCTTCTTAATATTAATGATGTTTCCGGCACTTGTGTCAAACTTACAAATCGCAGTTGCAGTCTACTTAAACACAGAAAATCATTAGCTCTGGGTATTGTTACCCAATGGATAATTATCTCTCAGCTCCCCCTGTCCTTTCCCCATGGTTTTGATAATAATAGTCCCTACACTTGGCCCAAATTTCAGCAGCCCCTGGCATCGACAGAAGGTAGTCAGTGAACCTATAATGAATGAATAAATAGCAGGCTCTAGTTCTCCCTTGTCTATGCTAAAGTTGGAGTAAACAAGCAGACGAAGACTTCTATTCTCCTTCTAAGTGAACCACTCGTGTTCCTTTCAGCTACCTACCAACTCTCTTTGGAGGTCTAGGGAAGACTGTCAGAACTTCCTGTGGCTTATGTGCTTGCTCTCACTATGTTTTGTACTCAAAACTCATTACCATCTCATTTAATGCAACCCATTGAGATGACTGCCATTACCCTAACTCCACACACTTACTAACAAATCTAGATTAATAACTTAGCTTGATGGGCTTGAGATTTCTCTGTCCAAGATTACTTGCATTATGATAAGAGACTTGTCTAAATCCAATCCCGGGACATCTTCTTTCATCTGGGAATAATCAAGTGTGCAAAATTCTACATGTATTTGTTTGTTCCCAAAGAGTTATGCTCTTCTACAATTTTATTGTGACTTTAATTAGCATCTCTTTTTAGCTCTGATATCATCTCCTTGTTATAGAAACAGATTAAAGATGTCATTCCCATTGAATAAGAGCTTTGCAGGAGGGATCTCAGAGAAAGTATCCTGGGTGGAAAATGATTCACAGATTGAAGGCAAAGAGAAAATAAAAGGCTTAGCAGAGGGGCAAAATATGATGGGGAGACAAATGAGAGAAGAGAGCTAGATATAAGAGATATAATTCTGAAGACTTAGAATATAGAAATGAGCAGATTTAGATAAACCAGGTGGATTTAAAAATCACATTATAGAAAGGATGCTTAGTTGGATGGAATCATAATCTAAATAAGAAAATAAAATAAGTAATAAAGACAAAATAAATAAGAAAATTATATCATTTTTAAGATATTATTAAATTATTTGGAGGGAAGCCTGGGTGGCTCAGTCAGTTAAGCATCTGACTTCAGCTCGGTCATGATCTCATGGTTTGTGAGTTTGAGCCCCACATCAGCCTCTGTGCTGACAGCTCAGGGCCTGGAGCCTGCTTTGGGTTCTGTGTCTCCTCTCTCTGTTCCTCACCCACTCATGCTCTCTCTGTCTCTCAAAAATAAATAAACATTAAACAAATTTAAAAGAACAAAATAATAAAATGAAAATAAATAAACATTTAAAAAATTTTAAGAAACTATTTGGAATGGATACAACTCACAGTCTTTTGAATTACCCTTCACCAAACTCAGGCACTAGGAATAAGAAATTATCTTTGAAGAATTGACTTTTAAAGAGGGGTTTGAGGGGCACTTGGCTGGCTCAGACAGTTAAGTGTCCAGACTTCGGCTCAGGTCATGATCTCATGGTTTGTGAGTTCAAGGCCCACATCGGCCCATTTCAGATCCTGGGTCCCTCTCTCTCTCTGCCCCTCCCCCATTTGTGCACACTCTCTCTCTCTCTCTCTCTCTCATAAGTAAATAAAAACATTAAAACAAACTTTTTTAAAAAGAGGGGTTTGAAAAAACAGAAGCAGATAGAGTGGTAGCTGTAGTAGTCAACTTTACTGACCAGAAGGAGTTAGAACCCAGTATTTTAGAGCTATAATCCTAATTATGATGCCACCAAAACAGTTTACATGTTTAAAAAATACATCAAGAGCAACCTGTGAACATGAGAAATGTCATTTCGATTCCTTTAGTTTTAGCTAAACTGAATATATACAAGGGGGCAATGATCCCATTCGGTATCCCCATAAGAAATTCCAGGTAATGAAAATAGTTGAGCAGGAGAGGAAACTACATTTGGTCCTGGAAAAAAAAAAGTGGAGAAATTGGTCCTTATTGATTAATAGATTAGGTATAGTTCACTGGCTATTTATTAAATGCATCTTGGCTCTGTGCTAAACCGGAAAGGGATGACTCCAGTTTGGCAGTGTGGTTCTCTGCATACTCTATTACATTCTTCAAAATGTATTTAATTTTTTTTTTTTGAAACAACCTCTGGCTTCTCATCTAAATACTCAAACATGATTTTTGAAAAATGTCACATTCCACAGAATAAACACAGAGACTGCCAACCCTGAACTCCTCTATTCAAACCACAGGCTTACAAGGTTGGAAGCATTAAATAGACCAAGAGACAGTTTTCCTCAAGGTCTTGGGAAGCGGCCAGATGAGCGTTTACAGTCCTCGTATTTGCTGATGCTCTGTTTTGCTGGTGCACATTCTTACTATTTCCCCCTATGCCTTTTTTTCCAAGTTAGATTCTTCTTTCTTCTAACCTAGCTAAGGGACCCACTACTTCCTTTTCTATTGTTGATTCCAAACCTGATACAGTTAGCCAACACAAGGCTGTTTGGGGCTGGGGGGGGGGGGGGGCGGGTTGGTTATTATCTTAATTTAACGTATTGCCTTAACTAACTGCCACCTTTGATTCCTCCATTGTGCTGAAGAGCTAAATTTATTTGATAAACAAGTTGGAACGGGGGTGAGAAATTAAATGTCTCAGAGCATCACTTCGATATTCATCCCAGCAATTTCCCAGCTGTGATTTGCTATAAAGACTGCATTAGTTACTCTTGTTATGAAGAGAAAGCAAAGAGATTTCTGGCAAGGCCTCCCTAGTGTCAGAGGAGTCGCTAGGAGTAAATACCACCCCCCTCCATTAATAAAGTCATCCCCAGAACGGTTGTCCATTCTCTGATGGTCAGAAAAGAAACATGAATCTCTTTGTAGAATTTTTTCAGGGTTTTTGTTAATAGAAACTCTGACCAATACAGAATACTATCCTCTTTAGGATTTTGCTCCTACACCATTTTATGAGTGTGTACTGGTATTTTCCAGGATAAGGCAATACATAGATATGAAGAGGTGTTTTTTTTTAAGTTTACTTATTTATTTTGAGACAGAGAGAGAGAGAGAGAGAGAACATGCACGAGCTGGGGAGGGGCAGAGAGAGAGGGAGAGAGAGAGAATCCCAAGCAGACTCCACACTGTCAACACAGGGCCCAACAGGGGCTGGAACACACGAACCTTGAGATCATGACCTGAGCCAAAATCAAGAGTCAGACGCTTAACTGACTAAGCCATCCAGGCACCCCTGAAGGGTTTTTAAGCCGACTATGATAATTCACGTTTTCTTTCTGTTTCTGTCAGTAGACCGACAACTCACAAACATAAACTGTGATCTGCAGAAAAAGTCTAACAAAAGATAGTTTATGTGAGCAGAAACCATAGAATTTTCAGCTGGAGGTACCTTAGAAGGTTAGATCAGTGATGGTGGGAAGAGGGGCATGCTGTACAGCCCACTCAGATGATTTTGCTGGAAATAACGTGTGATGAAATGTGCAGCTGGAATTATTGCTGCTTGTCCCAGCGAGGATAAAGAAATACAGAGAGATGGTGATGACAGAAACATGATTCATTATTATATTATAAAATATTTGCATTTTACATGTATGAATAGGTCACTCTTCTATTGTCCTCCTCCGTTGCCAAAAGCGTTTTTGAGCGCTCAAAAATATGGCAAAATGTAGCATCAGTGGATCATAATTTTATTGAAGACAGTACAGTTTCCACGTTGTTAGCCATTTATGGAATGAATATGTGCAACCAAAGAAAAATGGTTGCACGTGAATCTGCATTTAATCTAAACCTTTCATGGATCAGGAGATTTTTAAAATGTGTTTCCCAAAAAGTGAGATTGCAAGAGAAGACGATTTCAATGGTGTTTTCTTCTTGGAGAGGAAGATACAGACATCTCACCCACCACATGCCTGTGCTAATGTGATAGCATACTGAACCAAGAGGATATGAGGGAAGAGATAATGGAAATTATATTTTTGGTTTATTTCCATATGCATAAAGGTGGCACTGTTTTCTCTCTCCTGTGTGAAAATAACACTACTGAACTAATGCTATCAGGGCAGGTGCATACTTCTGTATTTTTTAAAGTTTATTTTATTTGTTTATTTTGAGAGCGAGAGTAGAGAAGGGGCAGAGAGAGAGGGAGAGAGAGAGAGAATCATGAAATCATGACCCGAGGCGAAATCAAGAGTCTGATGCTTAACCAGCTGAGCCACCCAGGCCCCCTATTGTGTTTTTAATTGCACTGATGTATTTATATGTATTCATTAAACCTTCACACATATCCCCCAACATACAGACACACACACAGTCCTCTTTGGGATTGATGGTATCCATTTCCATGACAGCTGACTGAAGTTAAGTGCAGGCAATGGTCATGGAATGCATCCACATAGACTAGTTAACCTCTGAGGGGATCAGCCCCGTGACACTTGCATCACTAACATCAGATCCTTACCACCTAAGATCACAACCCATAGTCCCACTCTGAAGTTGGACGGTCTCACCACAGCTCTCAATGAGATGGTCTCCTGTTGCATTCTTGAACATTATATGATGATGCAGATTTCTATTTTATTCACGGAAGAGAAATACATATAGATATGTGACCAATATTTTTTGTACAAAATCTACTGTTATATTAAGGCATGTAAATAAGTGAACTAAAAATACAAGGTATCAGTTTCTTATGTTTTTAAATTAATTTTCAGGTCCCGTGGATGTCAATATTCTAGCTAAATGTAATCCCTGCTTATCAAATCCGTGTAAAAATGATGGCACCTGTAACAATGACCCAGTTGACTTTTATCGCTGCACATGTCCGTATGGTTTCAAGGTAAGTAGAAACTTTTAAGGGAGACATCATCTGAAAACATAGCTTTCTTCGGTGGGTCCTCGTCATTCTATTGTGTTTTCTCTATGTACTGAGATCTGCTTTGTTTACACTTGACTTTACTTGGCCATTCCTTCTCCAGGGGCAGGACTGTGATGTTCCTATTCATGCATGCATCAGTAACCCATGTAAACATGGAGGAACTTGCCACTTAAAGGAAGGAGAAAAAGATGGATTCTGGTAGGTCACTGGACTCTAATATTCTGTCTGAAGCATTGGAACAAGAATAACTAAGCAAACACTCATTTTCCTTTTCAAATCAAAGGGTGTTATTCCTAAAAGAATGCCAGAAATGTGTTCATCAGAACAATATGCATTCGTCCTTCTTGGAGATATTGTAATATGAAAAACAAACATTACAGTATTCCCAGCTCAGGATGCTATAAAATCAAGAATTTTTAAACATATGCACGTGCATGCGTTATGATTCATATAGTCAGATTAGGTCAAGACAGAGTAGTAGCTCTATTATGCTAATTAATAGCCAATAGTCTCCTACTTCAAGATGCATATTCATCTGTTTTGTGTATTGCTTTCACAGACAGTGTGTAATGATAAGACGTAGGTCCCACTGGAACAGAAAATTAATGATTCATTTCCAGGCCACAAAATGAGTAGACAAACATGCTGTGAACATTTTTAATCTGGAGTTATTTAATCATACAGTACAATTACTTCAGATGTACTTCATGAATTATGAAATAGAGTTCTTATAATGACAGTAATAATTTCACATAAGAATGTTAATCTACTACATAGCTTGTTAGAAATATCACTTTTTACAGTAAGTATTCTTCATTTCTGCATTCTCTTATGAAATGGTCTCTTTTTTCAGTAAGACTTTACTCAAAGATTATCCTGATACCTATTGAAAATAAATGTACAATATTTTATGTCATTGAAAAATATTGTATTTGTTGAGACTTAAAGAGAACATTTACATTTTATAATGACAAGGAAGATGTAATTTTATTTTCAGATTTTTTTTTTTTTTTTTTTTTTTTGCTTTGAGATATGGAAGACATTACTGCTAGGATAGAAAGTGTTGTAATTTTTTTTTTTCTTTATTTTATTTAATGTCTATTTACCTTTGAGAGAGAGAAAGAGAGAGAGCGTGAGCGGGGCAGGGGCAGAGAGAGAGGGAGACACAAAATTCAAAGCAGCCTCTAGGCTCTGAGCTGTCAGCACAGAGCCCTACATGGGGCTCTAACTCATGGACCTCAAGCTCATGACCTGAGCTGAGTGGGACACTTAACCAAGTAAGCCACCCAGGCACCTGGAAGTGGTGTAATTTTTAAAGTCAGAACCGGGGCTTCTGGGTGGCTTAGTGTGTTAAGTATCTGACTTCGGCTCAGGTCATGATCTCATGGTTCATAGGTTTGAGCCCTGCATTGCGCTCGTTGCTGACAGCTCCGAGTCTGGAGCCTGCTTCACGTTCTGTGCTCGCTGTCTCTCTGCCCCTCCCCTGCTCATGCTCTCTCCCCCCCCCTCTCTCTCAAAACTAAATAAACATTTAGTTTATTAAAAAAATTTAATGTCAGACCCAGTTGCTCCTTATTAATGAGCAGAGAAGCATGAATCATTTTATTAGAGCACAACTTGAGATCAATGTATCTAGGGCTGTAAACCTTGCTTGTGTTTTAGACCTGCAAATACATTGGATATATTGACTTATAGGACTATGGGGCTATTTGCCATCTTGCAGCCGTCAAAGCTTCTCTTTTTTCAAATTGTTTCTGATTTGGGGGATACTACTTTAAACTCATGCCTACTACATGTCTTTTAAAAGTACTTTAAAGTTTAATTTCCTAACAGTTAAAATGTCTGTAATGGATGAGCATGTTTAGCTTTTTTCAGTATTTAGACTATATAGTTCTAAATGTACCAAGGACGTGCTTTTTTGTTCTGTTTTATTTTCGTGGTTTTTTTTTTTTTTTTTTTTTTTGGTTTTTTCTCCCCTGGCATTCAGGTGTATTTGTGCTGATGGATTTGAAGGAGAAAATTGTGAAGTCAATGTTGATGACTGTGAAGATAACGATTGTGAAAATAACTCTACGTGCGTTGATGGAATTAACAACTACACGTGCCTTTGCCCACCTGAGTACACAGGTAAGGAGAAGCGAAAATGCTGTGCCATCAGTAGTGTACCTGTTTGAAAGCATCAGTGGCCCTGTGTCGTATGCATATAGTAAGCATTGTATTATTCCATAACCGGTAGGTGTTTTGAAAATTAGATGTAATGTGAATAACAGACAAAAATGGTTTGGATCAACCAAATAAAAGATGCAGCAAGTTCAAACCACAGACATCTACATAAAGTCATGCTACACAGCAAAAGTTACCATTCTGAAGCTTTTATTCCCACAACTGTAAGCATTTTCAGGTAAAGCACCTCTCCTGTGCAAACCAACCCACCAATACATATGGAAAAGAGGCCACTTTTTCACAGTCAAAACACAATTAAGCATTTGAGATTACTTGTGTCCCTAGGTGTTTCTTCACTAGTGAGTGTTTTCCTCTAGTAACTCCTGTCCTTCAAAATAAAACAGAATCAGGAAGCTATTGAGCACATTGGATAATCTCATGATTATCACCTTTTTCCTGACGTTTCGTATCTTAAGGTGATAAATTTCATAACTCGGTCTGAACTGATAAACTTCCCTGCACAAACCAATTTGCTATAAAGGCAATGTCAAGTTTCGGCTAACCCTGTTATGTCAATATATCTGTTTTGATGGATTTTGGTGGCTATGAATAAGAAGTGAAATAGTTGCTGTCTCGTTTCCTTAATAAACCACTTAGTTTTAAAGTTGATGGAGAAAAGAGAATGTTACACATTCGATTTACAAGAAAAGATGGGGAAGTAGATTCTGTGACTCTGTTCAAAGTTACCATTTTCATTTTGATGGGTATTTTTCATTAACTATGTATTTCCGTATGATTCAATACATAGTTAAGAATATCAGAGGATAAGATAACTGGGTAGATGACTGAGGTTAACATCTCTAAACATGAAAAGATGAGAGCACATCTGTATGATTCACTTTCCCAGAGACTTGTCAGGGTAGCATTGAAATGTAAGCTTTATGGAATACACAAACTTTGCATTTCAATAAGTACTTTTCCTGATGGGAAAATGCTAGATAAAAAACAAGCATTCTATTTTGATATCCCAGATTTGTTTGAGTGCCTTTGAACCTGCCTTTTCCATATTTGTTTGTTTTGGGGTTTTTTTTTCACACCAGTGAAGCATCTGATGTCATATAGTGTAATATACTAAGTTTCCAGTAGGAATTTGAACATGTTGTATCATAATTGTTCTATTACATATATGCAGCCTTGGACCCCTTAGTGACTAGTTTGAATTCTTTGATATTTCACATTAATAAAGGATAGCAAATATATTCAACAGGTACCCATTCTAAAATGGTTGGGAAGTGTAGGTGCTACATAGCTTTGACATTCACACTAATATTACTTGTGTCACACCTCAGAGAGTTGCCAATGGCCTGCATGCACAGACAGATCCTGGGGCCCTTGGAGCTACCCTGAGAATTTGAGTTTTCTTGGCTGAGCTAACTTAGACTTGAACAAGAAGCCTGATGTTTGCACTAAAATCTGTTACCTAGTACCTTCTTAGGAGAGAGAAGTTCTGTTTTCCTCTCATTGTTCTAATCATTATCTTAAGGGCTTAATTTTGGAAGCCTCTTGAAACTAACCTCCACTTGACCAGGCTAAACTAGACCTAAGCATTTCAAGCACATTTGGATTCGCCAGTGTGCTCCTGAGCACAGAGACCAAGAATTTATCTATATGCCCTGATGAAAACCGAGGCTTGAAAGCACTTTGTATTCAGGTTCTTAGACGCCTTTTTTATGATAATTTACAGAAGGTGGCAAACTCTTCTCAGTTGGTTTGGAGAGGGGTCCACCAGCTTTGGCTTTAGATTTGCTGTATCTTACTTCTTACCCATTTCTTTTGAGTCTTCACCTTACCTTCTCTCCCAAGCTTCCTTCCTGTACCTTCTCCTCTTGATCACGTTTTCTCCATCCTAAGTGATGCAGTTCACTGCAACTTCCTCTAGAAGTGTTATGAAGCCTCATTTTCCCCGTGTCAGATCTCTTTTTATGAAACACATCAAAAAACCCCAAAGTTTAGCAAAACCACTTTTTAGCCAAAATGTGACATCTATAAAGGCCATCATGTGGGAACCTGCCATGACTATCTGTCCAGAATCACGGTTCTCAACAAGAACTGAGACTCTTAGATGTTTTTAGTCATAGCTATTGCAAATACTGGTTTGCCTTAATTTGGGCAAAGAATTAACAAAAATACTGAACTCAGTAGAAAGCTCACAGTGTGCAAAACATGGAGATATTACCACTGTCACTGGGCTGGGTCTTGGGGACAACAAGGAGTTTGACAGTTGGCATTAGAGCAGATATCTAAACTGGGCACATACTCACCCATTAGCTGTAGTATTTTGGTCCACATGTGAAATGAGCTCATTTACAAAATATCAAGCAACCATCTGCAGATTTTGAAACGAGTGGCACATAAGTGGCCTTTAATTATAGGAAGTATAAATTGGACTCTAGAGTTTCATATCACACTTCATCCAAGCCTGCAGTTAGGGAGGATTTTATTTTAATAATGTGGCTATATTGTTTCAGATTTAAGTTTGGAATCTGATTAATGAGTATGAGACCTGGGAAGAGAAACGGTGCTGTGCTCAGGGAATATAATCATGTTGTCATTGTTTAAAAATCACTCAAGTCAGAAGTTGCTTTTCTGTTTGGAGATGTTTTACTCTGTACCCCCAGAGGCAAACAATGAGAAAGTGAACTGGTTAGTAGGAACAAATAAAACTTCATGGGAAAAGGTTGTAAATTATTATGGTGAAAGGTTTTACCTTTGGCACCTGTGTCAAGACTCAGAAATGGACATCATGTTGCTAATGGAGGAAATTCAAAGACCCGAAAGCAGTCTGACAGAGAACTTACTATGTGATAGGTAGGCTGTACTATAGAATGAACTGCCATTGGGAAATTAAATTTATTTAAGCCCTTGTGACCAAAACACCACAGTAAATAGTGATTGATTTATTAGAGGAGAAAACTCTCCGTTCTTTCCTGCTGCAGGGATTGACAACATAATTTTTAAGGGTCAATATTGTTTTTTATTATCTAATCTTTGCAATACTTTCCCCACCTGGGTTACCAAAACTATTCTTTTCTACCTAACTCAAGCCATCCTCTGTCCTTCTAGTTGCATAATATGACTGTTGCTTGCTAGTATTTTTCAGAGGATTAATTTTTGGAAATTTTAATTCACTGTGATTTTAAATTAAATTTTAAGGATTTTAAATTTAAATGCTAAGGATTCAGGAAGTAGGACTCTGGAATAATTAAATAATTTAAAAATTCAGTCTGGGGTGTTAATTTCAGCTTGCAAAATTGTTTTTGTTTTTAATCATTATTATATCCTTCCTAAAAAGAGTGCATATCTTGGAGGTATATTTTTATGGAATTCCTCAAGTTATAAATTAGAAAGTATATTAGCTCAAAACCTAGAAAAGTGAAAATTGTGTATATAGCATCCCTGCAAAGCTGAAAAACTTGACACTTATTCTCAAGCTCTGGTATGAACTTAGTTGTTTGAATCGAAAAATATGTTTTCGCATGTTTCCTAAGAGTCAGAACCCTGGATCAGCTACGTCAAGAATATGCTTCCTAACACTATTCTCATGGGACCATATACAAAGATGACACAAAGTTGGTCTCAGTCTAAACCATGGTATTACTTAATGGGATGACATCAGTTCAGGAAATGAAAGCTTCCATACAAATTGGGCATGTAAGGACTTAGAAAGTATTTTGTGGAAAATATTCAGACCATTTTAGCTTTTCCATTTTGTGCCATTATTTCTTCATTTTCCGAACCTCCGATGCCCACACACAAACCATGAAGTGCACGTCTTAAAAAGTAAACCTGCTGGTTGTTAAATGAACTCGTTGAGATGCAGACCTCTCGCTGCCTGGGATGGCATTTACCTTCTGCCTCCTTTACTCCATGTTTGTGCGTGTGGCCCTGCCGTAGGTAAGAAATCTGAGCCTTGCTTTAGTTTGCTCTCACCCTTGGCTTCTCTGTTAATGCCGCACATTGGCTTCGTGTGCTCTGCTGTTGTACTGCAATGTAAAAAGTCTTTTGTCTCTTCTGTCTTTGTCGCTGCCAGCTGCTAATCTGAATGAGGTGGAAAAAGGTTAGTTGCCTTTTAAGTCTACTATGATTTTCATTTTAGTTTCCCTTTTTTCTTTTAAAGCTACACAGATGTTATTGTGTGTACACGGTAAAAAGACTGTTGACAAAATCTGAAACCAGTATCTCAAATCAGTCATTCAGATCCTTGCCATACACATAGCTATGCCAAACACTGTAAAAAGGGCATCTGAAGTGCACTTTACCAATTTCCAGAAGGCTCTGAAATTCTCTGGGAAGAAGGGGTGGCTAAAAAGAAAGATGAATGTTTTCTACTTCCTACTTGTCTGTATGCTTTTACTCTTTAAAGATACCACAAACATGAATTACTTTTACAATGAAAAACATAGGTCATTCAGTACAGAGATAGGGTGTAGATATAAACATTTTTTAATACTGGGAATTTTCCCATGACATTAAACTAACACCTTTAGTAATTTGAAACATGTAAAATACTGGAAGATATTTGTATTTATTAAAACATTTTATGAAATAAATATTACAAAGCCCAAGAGGTTGATTTTGAGAGTCACATTGTCAAACACAGTATAAAATGTCACAACTACTAGGCAGTATTTTTAAAGCATAAAAAGACCTATATCTAATCATAGACATCAATATGGTCCAAATAGATCCCCCAAAATATCAGGGCCCAGGAAAGGAAGTCCTAGAGTAATTAGGGTGATAGGCATTTCTGGAGAATTATCATGAAATCTTTGTGAAATTTTAGCTTAAAGATTCAGAATTATTACTAATAACATTGGATTTTTACTCATTCAGCTGATTGGACGTTTTCAAGTGTCATGTGTAGGCACAGTGTCCTAAAAGCACAATATGTGCTTGTCTTGACATTTCTGATTATATGTGAAACATTTGCAGTAGGATGATAGGGCTGACATAGAATGCATTAAATAGCAGCTCTCTTTGTCTCTGCTTGCTAAGGACTCCATTGTTTTTTCTGTTGCATTATTCAGGTGATATGCTGTGTTTGGTCACTTAACTCTTACTACGTACAGAGTTAAGTTGAAAAATATGAAAAAAAAATGGCTTCATATTTTAGAATGTTAAAATATAGCCTGTGCAGTTCTCTGAAGATTAACGAATCCAGTAACATCCTTGATCAGATGTCATCTTTTCTTTCTAAAAGTACTAAAGTAATTGGTGGTCTGGGGCAGGGATGTTTAATGTTTGCTTCTATCTCAGAGTAATAATAGCAATTGTTCTGTTATAGGAATATACCATAAATAGTTATATATACTCTCAGGAACAAGGTTGGCAGTGTGATAGTATTTTAAATCACCATGTGGTTTCCTACGATGACTAAATTTCATGCTTATGTTTATAAAAGATGCCTTCTCTTTCCAAGAATCTCCTGCTGAGTGAATTTGCTTTGAAAAGCACTCAAACTTTGCTCTATTTTTTAACCCAAAACCTCACAAGAAATTAAATTTCAACTTCTTTATAGCAGACAGCAACTTTCTTAAATAAAAAGAAGCTCCATAATTAGGTGACATATTGTTAATTGAAAAGAACGCTGTAGATGTGAACAATAAAAATTTAAGCAATAACTTGTATAAAAGATGAGAAAACACTTACCCGAGGATGCACACCTTATAAGTAGGGATCTGAATGCAAACCAATGTCTAACTGACCCCAAGGCATGCACTGGGATTTGGGGTGGGGAGGCTTCCACTGGAATCAATTCCCTCCTATCTGCTGCTATCTTCCAGGCCTGGAACCATTTCCCATCACTCAGTGGCTCTGCCTAATTGTTTGTGATAAACAAGCTTTTCTTATGCTGTCTCTTCAGTTCTCTGTACATAAGTGTCTTTCATGTGCATTTGAAAAGAATAAAGCTGTAGCCACAAAATTCAAATGAAGGCAAACAATCTATTTTATCTACAAGTTAAAAAAAAAAAAAAAAGACAGTGCCTAATCAATGCCTGCAAAACTATTTCCCCTGATTTTTAGGCTACCTCCTTCCATATAAGGCTGGTGGGATACTGATGAATTTTTGTAGCTAAGGGGAAAAGTTCAGATTTCTTATCCTTATAGTTAATATTATCAACTCTGGGATCTCTGGCAGTCTTTTTTTTTTTTTTTTCTGGGAAACAAGGATAATGACATCTGTCCCACCCGACATCCATGCCTGAGAATAAGAATGTATGGAACAACACCTTACAGTGTTAAACATCTATACTCCAGAAACTTCAGGGGCTGCCATTCCTTAATGGCATTAAGAATCCTTAAGGGAATTTTGATAAAGAAATTCCTACCTAAAGTAGATTATATGCATAATATATTCTTCCCATATTTTTCAGTACTATCTTTCTTTTTTTTTTTTCAACTCTTTCTCTATATACATTACATGATTTGGTTAGTTTCTGCATTACAAAATTTACATGTTCTTTACATACCTCTATATTTTCTGATCTCCACAATTTGTGTATTACTTTATTTTTTATTTTTATCTATTTATTTTTTAATATAATTTATTGTTTGGGGTAGACTCCTGTGATTCATCGCTTACATACAACACCCAGTGCTCATCCCAACAAGTGCCCTCCTCAATGTTTATAGCACCTCTTTCAACAATAGCCAAATTATGGAAAGATCCCAAATGTCCATCAACTGATGAATGGATAAAGTACTATCTTCAAATTATTATTTTGTAATTCTGTTTTCCATGCACATTTCAAATGGAAAGACTTCAGAAATAAGTCTCTGGTTCTCTTTACCCACTTGACTTGAAGTATAAGGAAATAATGAATGCTGAAGAGCTCTTGGATTTGACTGGGTTTTTTTTCTTTTTTTTTTTTTTTTTTTAGGTTTTGTTATATTTTTTAAATTTTTATGATCCTTAATAATAGTGATTGCCTGTTATTAATTCTGCCTCAAGATGTTTAAGGTCTTTGTTTCAAGATCAATATAGTTGCAGTCACACTTGCAGTCTGTTTTTTGTTTGTTGGGTGGTTTTTGGTTGTTTTTTTGTTTTGTTTTGTTTTTGTTTTTTGGTTCTCTTATTTCATCTTATTTTATTTTTAATTTTTTTCTTTCACTATTTTTTTTAATATAATTTATTGTCAGGTTGACTAACATACAGTGTGTACAGTGTGCTCTTGGTTTGGGGGGTCAATTCCCGTTATTCTGCAGTCTGTTTTAATAGAGAGAATGCTCTGGCAGCCTAACAAGATTGTGTGGTTTGCTTTCATCTTCCTACCTTTCAACACCAGGTCCTACTTGCTCTTTAGTTAGTAGGCAAGGCCCACTGAGCCCAAAACAACAGTTTAACTTAACCAAGCCTTATTCAATCTAATTTGGATTTATTTATCTTGAATATAAGTGTTAAATATTTCTAAGGTTTCAGTAGTTGTTGGGATTGGCCACGTTATTTGACACCAGTGTTCTAAAGAGGAAGTACTGAAAAATACCTGCTTTTCTGTTTATTTTCAGGGGAGGTAAATTTTTCATTTTAAAAACTCAAAAGATGTTTAAAAATACCTTATGCTGGACACTGTGCTAAGCACCAAACGTGACTTTTTTAAATGCATAAAACATCTACTAGGCAAACTCTTTGGCTTTGATTCTGTACTTCAAGTTCAAATTGGGTCAGTTATTTCACCAGTACAAAGCCATCATCTCTCATATTCCAAGAAAGTGGACAGCATAATATGGTTCCTTTACTAGTTGATAAGTGAAGATAATCTTTTTCAGAATGAAGACTAATCAAACTTTCTGGCAAACAAAACATTATGGAGCAACCCCTTTCGTATTATTTAGAACAAAAGCGAGAACAGAAGATGATTTTCCTTGTTTGAAATATCTTATCCAAATGTATAGAGTATTTTCCTGAGCCTTCCTACTTTGAAGTATGATTCACTTTATCTCATGATGTTACTTTGTGGCAATGTATCCCTTCTGCCCATGATCCATTTTGCACACCTTTTGCACTCAGAGGACATTTATCAGTGACTATTGGATCTTCAAGAATTCACAACCCCTCAAGATCTTTTCATTATATTTCTGTACAAACCAGTGGATTTAATTAAGTTTAGAGAAGTGGGAATGATCTGAGTACCTTATTCATCATATTTCAGAGGTCAATGGACTTTCTAATTGATAGGACAGATTTCAGTATAGTGAGCACAAATAAGAAAGCATCATATTATTAAAAAGGATCCTCAGGAAGAGTTGGCTCTTTGGAAAAAGTAAGAAGAAATAACAGCACACTCTTAGTGATGAATACAGTCAATTATTACCATCACCATTGATAAGGATACTGAATATTCAGATCAGAGACTGGGCATCTGTTCATGTTAATATGCTCTGGTGCCTGGGATTATAACCTTGAGCAGAAGATGTGACAAAGAAAGCTGGACTGGTTCTGCAAAAGAGGAGAAAATAGAAATGTTTTTCCTGCAGGTGTAGTTCAATTAACAGGTCCTGGGATGACTCCCAGAATCCCATCAACTGTGTCCACCCTCTTCTCAGTTTATCCATCTCCTTGCTACACTGAAAGATCTGTAAGAGGAGAGAGAATGTGTGTGTGTGTTTTTTTTTAATAGGAATAAAGAACAAATGGGAAATATACAAATTTTTATAGGAATTGGATGGAATTTTAAAATTTTGGTAATGAGAAACATTCAGATCCTTTCATCTTCCCTTTCTCAAACATGTCACTTAAGTACTGACACTCACACTCCTACCATTCCTGAGTTCATCCTGTCTGTTTCCAATTGGAACCCTCATTATTTGGCAGATGAGATTATACAGATACCAGAGAGTCCACCAGGCTGTGCATCCAGTCCCGCCTGCAAAAGCAATCCCTCAGGCTGGGATCTCAGAACACAAATCTGCTACTGATTTTCCTTATTCTCTGCTCTGCCTTAGGTTGTTCTTCATATCTCTGGGTCTCCTTCATTAATGTGTTTAAAGGTTTTTGTTGTTGTTGTTTGTTTGTTTGTTTTTTTTTCCCTTGCGGCACTTGGGTGGCTCAGTTGGTTG